AAATTTTTAAAATGTTATTCTGTTTTATTTTTACTATTATATTATTTATTGTTATATTAATGATGATTAATAAGTTATTACCATATTCTAGAAAAGTTACCAAAAATATAAAGAGAACAAAACCATTAAAAATATAGAGAGGGTTCAGAATGAGACCAGTGATTGATCTCTAAAGATGACTGCACATTCTTTATGGAAAAATATTCTACATTCGTAGTGTAAGACCATAATTTCTATGATATAGTAGACTGAATAATTTGTTTATATAATGATAAAAACAGAATTAAAATATACAATACTTGATACTAAAATATGATGAATAAAGACCGGTTTCGTGTGGAGACGAGACACTTTTTCCTTAATTCTTTAATTGCATGTAGTGTGATGGTGTTTATGCAATCAGAATCCCAGGATACAACCACACTTTGTATCGCAATCAGAATACAATCCCAGGATACGCAATCAGAATCCCAGGTTTGTTAGCATCACTCAGAATATAAGCTAACAAACCATTTTGTGTGTTGTACTCTTAGACACAAAATAAATAAAAATATTAGTATAATAACTATTTCATAATGAGAGAATTGGTTTTTCTTGTTTGTATCAATGTGTCTATTTCTTTTGGCTAACCAACCTTATTTATATGAAATTATCGACATTATATTATGGTTCTCAAAACCAAACTATGAAATAATGGACTCAAGTCAAAACATCAATATTGTCATTAAGGATACTTTATTCCTTTTGACTGTTATTGACTTTTAAAAATATTATGTTTTTGACTAAATCAAATACAATTAATATCCTTTTTATTTGGGTTTGCATTCTATGTTTATACAAACATAAAGATAGTCACCAATAAAATTTATATGAATAAGTAATGGATATAATATCCAAATAACAAATTCAAAGCCAAACCCAAATATCCAATGTGTGACATTTGCTAATTTATATTTAGCCCAATTTAAAGCTTTACAAGCTTTGCAAGTCACTCACTTAATTTTGACTTCCATTTCTCATTCAAACCAAATCTATTTTGACATTTTAATACATTTTTCATAATGCTTAAAAATAGTTCCAACGATCCCCCACATGAATAGAAATGACTCTAAACATTAGATGACTCGATAGACTTGACCTCCTAGACAAGATTCGACACGACTTGACAAGACTTAACTAAGTACTTTTGAGAGTAGAAGCGGAAAATCCACTGTATGATGAGTTGGTAGCAATTTTTCAGCATTGAACTAATCATTGTTAATAGCTATCGAATTTACTCGGCCAGGTAGTGAACATGATGTTTTGAACCACCCAGACTTTGATGTAAACCTAGACAATTTCTAAAACGCAGTTTCATTCTCTCACAGACGTGGGTTCTCTATTGTGTTCATTTTGGTCATGAACATGCCTGGTTAATCATGAGTGAACTTAGAGAATATAGCATTTCCTTTATTCTCCTAGAAACGGCCTCATTTCACACTCGCAATGTGATTTTCCATTAGCTTTTTAAGAGGAGTATCATGTACTACTCCATTCATATCTCAAAAAAATGGAATAAATCATTAAAAGCAAATGTTTATCTTGTAATCCTTACATGTGGCACTGTTTAATCACCTTAGGAACAACTGGGTATAGACCAAAATCTTACAGTGCTTTGAACAGATTTAATTGACTTAGTTGTCTCTTTGAACCTATTTATTGGGATCTCCAATCATTTAGGTAGAGTTACCACCAAACCATATCTTAGTTCATAGGCTTTCACCCATTCCTCTTGATGATAAAAATTTGATCTTATGACACACCTTTAATATAAGGATTCTAGATTGTCATTCATAATGAACATAATCTAATCAGATTAGTCCGACTGAGATCAATTGTCTAATAATTTTTGTCATCTTCTTTGAAGATACAAATAACTATTGTACATAAAACTCAGTCTTTGACACTAGTTTTTTTCTTAAATCATAGTGCGGTAATTATCACGAAATTCATTTGGCATCTTGCCAACAACTTTATATGGTAAGCAAAGTTTCCCCCACATTTCTTGAAATTACTCAGAAACATGCATATTTGCATTTAACATCTCATAAAAGTTTAGAAACATTATTCTACAAAATCTTTAGATTTAAATGAATAAAAATAATTTTAAAAATTATTACAATTTTCTTAATAATGTATTTCATTCTCAGAAATCAACATTTTACATACAACTATTTCTCATAGTTCTCTTAAGCTGATTTTATAATCCAACTTGTATGCTTTGGATTTATCCAAAAATATATTTTTGCTTTTAGCAAAGATACATATCATTACAAATATATGTGTGGATTCAAAATCACAATTCTATTTGGTTTCTTTCAACCATATTGATTTTAAAACTACAATATCATGTCAGTTTCAGTCATATTGATCTAAAAATTCTCATTGTTTTTTTTCATGATCAATCTTTATATGACTCGCGTCTAAAGCATTGACGAAATAAATGTTTTGATCAATGTCAACAACATTTTATTTTTAATGGCAAATTATTCATATGTGGCATACCTCTTACAAACTTAATTTGGGGCGTAGACTCATGAATCCATTTCCATCCATATCATTTGATCCTTAAAGATCCAAATGTTTTTTTTTTATCAATGACATAACCATATTTGAGACTTTAAACCTTTCTCCAAAAAAAGACCTGAAACAGTAAATAAAAAATGTTACTCATTCTTGTTAATTAAATCAAACAAGTCAAAGCATTAACACATATTTGACCAACTTAGAAAACAATATTTTAAAACATCAAAACGGAATTTCTAAAGTCTATAAAGTTAAGGCAACTGTTAAATTATATAACGCCAATGATTAAAATCCAATTAAATTATGAAATTCAAAAGAATTAATAATTTAACACAAAATTCCACGAAAGAGGAAAAATTAAAACCCAAGGATTAACTAATTACAGGCGGAACTAATAATCTTAATTTCCTGCAGATTAAACAATCAGACAAAAATCAAGAAAGCAAGCAATATTCAAATGATAATCAAATACACCACTAAATTGCATAAACTAAACCAATACGACAGGAAAATTATTTCTTTTCTCTGGTTCGGATTATGAACACATATTCTTATCAAAAGGTTAACAAATAATCAGTTTTTCATTAATATAATAACGAAAGTTAAAGAATTAAGATTGTAAGATCATGATTTCTATGATATGACAAACTGAATAATTTGTTTATATAATGATAAAAACAGAAATAAAATATATTATACTTGATACCAAAATATGATGAACAAAGAACGGTTTCGTGTAGAGGTGAGATACTTTTTCCTTAATTCTTTAATTGCTGTAGTGTGACGGTGTTTACGGAATCAAAATCCCAGGATACAACCACACTTTGACTATTCCGCATCACTCAGAATATAAGCTAACAAATCTCTTTTTGTGTTGTACTCTCAGATACAAAATAAATAAAAATACTAGTATAACTATTTTATAATGGGAGAATTGCTTTTTGTGGTTTATATCAATGTGTCTATTTCTTTTGGCTAACCAACTTTATTTATATATGAAATCGGTGACATTATGTTATGGTTCTCAAAACCAAACTATGAAATAATGGACTCAAGTCAAAACATCAATATTGTCATTAACGAGACTTTATTCCTTTCGACTGTTATTGACTTTTAAAAATATTATGTTTTTGACTAAATCAAATACAACTAATGTCCTTTTTAATTTGGGTTTGCATTCTATGTTTATACAAACATAAAGATAGTCACCAATAAAATTTAGATGAATAAGTAATGGATATAATATCCAAATAACAAATTCAAAGCCAAATCCAAATATCCAATGTGTGACATTTGCTAATTTATATTTAGCCAAATTTAAAGCTTTACAAGCTTTGCAAGTCACTCACTTTTGACTTCCATTTCTCATTCAAACCAAATCTATTTTGACATATGAATACACTTTTCATAATGCTCAAAAATAGTGTTGGAAAATAGTTCCAACACGTAGCAACGATAGCCATCTTTGGCGTAACCACCATCTCGATAGCAACCATTGCAACTGCGAACCCAAGGCGTGTAGGGTATAAGGGATGTCTGTGAGTTGGTAGTTTTATGCTAATCATGGTGATAAACGTTTTGTGATAATGTTGAGCACGTTGATCGATGTATTTATACTAACTTAGTTTGATCCTAACATTTACATATTAGTAACAAGCAAAATATATATTCTTGATCATAAGCAAATAACAAGAAAGGAATGCATGCTAAACTGGTGAAAATGTTTCTCCTCTAACAAACGCTATCCTCTACTTTCTTGATTATGAGTTAATATACATTCTTTCTTGATATTTACGCATGAATTTAGAACATGCTTTGTCATTAGATAAAACTTTAATAAAAAAAGAAGATAAACAACAAATTGTCTAGCTCAAAAAAGACCCAATGAATAATTAAATTTTATTCAAGTTGTAGATTTCCTCATTTTGCTTAGCTCCAATATTGCTCGAGTTGTAGTTGGTGGAATAGCACTAAATTCATTCGAGTTGATACCCATATGATCAAACTCTTTTGTCATTTTAAAGAGAAGTCGAACTAAAAGGAAGATTATGACATCATATATGATATCGATATCAACTAGAAGGCAGAAGCTCAGTGGATCAAGAAAAATTAAAAAAAAAAACAATTGTTGACTATTTACGAAGTGGTTACAATGGAATAAAGACATTGTTTCTACCTTCTCAACATTTGACATTTAACATTTTCTAAACCAACCAAAAATAATGGATGTGGTGGGTAAGTCAACGTTTAAGGTGTCATTTGTTACAGACAAAAGGCGCGACTCGTCCTAACCCAAGGCACCGCGTCAATATTTGGCGCCATTCAGATATACTTAAATACTAAATAGTACCGTTTCATGAAGCTAATTATAATAAGAGTAACAAAATACGTTTATATGATAACGATGCGAAGGATTTACCTCCGTATAAGTTATACTAAAGCTGCTCGTTAGGAAAATAAACAATGAACCGGCTAGAGTTCCCGCTGGTCCCGGTGCTAGAGGGAATCTTTTGGCCACTTCGCCGTATATGCCTAGTAGTGATTTGGTACGTTTATAAATCTTCTTTTAACTTTTGGGAAAGGTGAAGAAGCATTTGATCAAAATTAAAAAAATGGATTCAGAATTAGAATAAAATGTGTTCTTGTTTTCATGGCTTGTGATTCTGAGGCTTAACTCTAGTAAGAAAAAAAACATATATAATTGATTTTTTCTTTCTTTTTCTTACATACATTCCAAAATTTTATTTTTAATTTACAACACATCGGTTAATCAGAATCGGAACATAGTGGAGTATTTTTTAAACTGCATATAGTGAAAGCTATTCTTTTTTTTTTCTGAAAATTTAGATAAAGGAAAATAACCACTACATTCTCCACACGAAAGAAAAAATTGTGAAAAGAATTGAGAATCACAAATATGCCGTACTAAGACCTAAATTCTTTAAAAAACGTTCAATAAAGCGCACAATTAGCTAGTTTGTAGGTGGTGTAGAAATACATCAATATATATTTTACAACGTTTTAATATGAAAAATATATTTAAAACATAGGGATAAAAGTGTTTATCTTCTATAAACAAATTAAAAGTAGATTACATTCGTTTGCATGTGTCTTTCTTGACCATGTCTTTCGTCTTATTACAATTTTTTGCATTACTTCAGGTCTTTCCATACATAGTAGGCGGACATAAAACACTTTAAAGAACAAATGAATATATTTCTTTTTGGATAAAAAACTTTTAAAACAAAGGGAACTGCACGTCGAGAGCGACATATATAGCACCGTGGTAAGAAACGAGGACTGGTTTGCATCGCTTCAATCCTCAGTTCATCATAGTAAGTGATTATGCTTCGACCAGGCATGAGAAGTGAGAAATCGCCGACAACACATTTGGTATGAAAAGCAGTACAACAATCGTCACAGTTGTAGAACCAATATTTTTCTATACTTTCCTCGCATATATCACACCAATACTCTCCTTTTGTATTGACTCTGTAACATAATGAGAGTGGATGGTCGTCATACCAATGTTTCGTTGTTTTCGGCAAAACAACACATTTGAGATCTAGCACAAATTTACAGTCATCGCAGCAAAATGTTGAAGAATCCCATTTTCCGCAAGCAGCACATGTCTTCCCATTCCTGTAAATGTAGTACAAGGGACATCCATGACTTTCGTGGAAGATAGGTTCAGAAATTTCACCACATATTACATCTATCTTGAAACTTTCAGTACCATACCTGAAACCACTGGACCAGTTATAGCATGCCGAACACTTAAATTGTGTCATGCCACCACTCGTTAAAGTTAATGGCTTGTCATAATAAATATGTCGTTTCATCCTAGGAAGATTAGCACACGTTTTGTGGAGAATGAAATCACATTGCACACAACTGTAGAATGCTTGGTAATTTATATGTAAGACACATGCTTCACAACGAACGTTTTCACCGCATGTGATGTTTTCCTCGTTGAGTTGTAGATAATGTTCCTCGTGACTGAAATGATGTATTAGGTTTCCGTTTATCACCTTGAACGGTTTGATTTCTTGAAAATCTTCTGGTATCCCTTTGAGTTCTAACTTGTCCCATACATCATCTCGTATTGCACATTTGGAATGAATGGCATAATTAGGACAAATTGAGCAAGAATATGCCCCACATGACCAATCAACTTTCTTGTGACAAAATCCACATATCCAATTCCCAGGACTTAGCTGACGACGCCTAGAAAGACGATGCTCGTGACGATTAACATTGATGATCTCTGGTAAGTCAATACAACTTTGATGGATCATGAAATCACATTGTCGGCATGAATAAGGACTTCGATCACCAGCCCACCCACAAACATCACAGTTAAAAGAGATGATCCTTGGCATAAGACTGATTTGATGGTCATGAGCTTTTGGAGATAATATTGTAAGTGGTGGTAGATTATTTACACAAGCTAGATCCACACTGAATTTACAGAATGAACAATGATAAAATCTTCTCTTTAATTCGTTTCCGCATATGCGACATTTCCCATCAGAGAAATGATGTTCTTCGCGTGTAAGGAACTTAATTGGGTGTTTAGAGTGAGAAGGATGAATTATCTCTAGAGGAATGTTAGCACATTCAAAGTGGAATTTTAATTGACATTGGAAACATTCGTAAAGATACCTACTACAATATATCTCTTCACAAAACTCACATGTGCCATTCGCATTTTTGAGGTAGACAAGAGAGTGTTCATGTGCTTTGGGATGTTCAATAACATCTGGTGGTGGATTTTTGGCACATGCCGTATCGACAACAAATTTACATATAGGACAATGATAAAACATATGATATATTAAAAGTCCACACAACTTACAAATTAGATATGGGGATCGACTCTCCACGATAGTGGAAAGGTGGAGAGGATGTTCAGGATGAGATGAATGGTTGATCTCTAAAGATGACTCTGCACACTCCTTGTGAAAAAAGGTTCTACATTCGTAGCAACGATAGCCATCTTTGGCGTAATCACCATCTCGACAGCAACCGTTGCAACTGCGAACCCAAGGGGTAGGGTATAAAGGATGTTTGTGAGTTGGTAATTTTATTCTGATCATGATCTTGGTTATGATTTTCTGTGATATTGAGCACGTTGATCGATTTATATACCAACTCAACGTCAACTTTTTAATTAAATTCTACAGCAAGCAAAAGATATTCTAGATCATAAGCAAATAACAAGAAATGAATAGATGCTAAACTGATGAATTTGTTCTTTAACAAACGTTATGCTCTGTTTTCTTGGAAATGAATTAATATACACTAGGATAAGACATACGTCTTGCGCATGATAAATTTATATAAAAATTACTTAAAAATAAATCTATATTATTGATTGAATATATATTTTGGTCTTTAAACAATTTTTTTTTTAATTTTTTTGTCCATTACATAATTTGTTTACTGATGAGCTGATCTCATTATTAAAAATGTTTTAGGTCAAAATATCACTTACCGCAAAGAACATAACGTTTAGGTCGAATAATCTCGAGTCTATTTGGTTACAAGGAAACTACGCCAGCTCGGTTTTATATCATGATTTAGCAATTTAAAAAAGTTAATTATGGTTATGAGAAGTTTACGTTCACGTGCCAATCATATTTATCTTCAATATTTTTCTCTTTTTTTTTGTTTTTTTTTTTGCATTTTGGTTATTGCTCGATATAAATATTGATTTTGAATTTTATTCTCATTTCTTTTGTTTGTTTTGGCCTGAGATTTAGAAAATGCTTAAGATTTAAAATAATTAAAGAGATACATACTTAGATTAAGATCTGCATTTTTTTTGTAGAATAAGTATTTTATATTTATTATTTATTTTATGTTTTTCTGCATATTATGAAATAATAAAATAATAAGTATATATGTTAAATAACTAATAAATCAGTTATTATTATGTAATAAATTGACATATGCATATAAATCTAATGATCACTCTTTTTTATTCACAATTAGGGTAGATAAATCAAATAATCAATCTTATATATCGTGTATGATATATATTTAAATTTAAATGATATTAATATAGATATATTGCACACTTTTAATATGGATATTTATTAAATGAGATTTCTACTCATATGATTTTATGATTATTTGCATATTTGTGTAACAAAAATTTACACCAATAATTTTTTTTAATGTGACATGTTTAGTAGTTTCAATAATTTATAATCATTTAAAAAAATGACAGGTTTTAAAATTACAATATTAACTTTTTAATATATGTTCAATGCAAATATCAAAATATAAGTATGTATTTTCATATGATGTATAGTTTAATTTAATCGATATGAAATATATATATATATATATATATACATATATATTAACATAAAACCTATTAAAATAAAATTATTTCTCCACATGGTCTTATAATAATTGTATCTTAGTATAGAAAAAAAAATTAAAGCTTGATCATAAAAGATTATGTGAGACTTTTAACAGTTTTAGTAATTTATACTCGTTTTGAAAAATTTGAAATACAACATACACAAAAAAATCTAGATTTTTATTATATGATTAATGTAATGATTATGTGAGACTTTTAACAGTTTTAGTAATTTATATTCGTTTTGAAAAATTTGAAATACAACATACACAAAAAAATCTAGATTTTTATTATATGATTAATGTAATTGTGTAATTTATTTTAATAATAACGAAATAAACAAAAATGATAAAAAGTATACAGTTTGTTATCAAATCTTTATTGTTTAAAATCATTAATTTTCATATATATATTTTAATCATATTAGGTAATTTCGTAGGTTTTATTTAAGGAATGAATACATAACAATAAATATTTGATATATGCGATCAACTATAGCCTGCAGAATATTATATTATTTGAGAATATAAATTTTAGACTATAGTTTATATAAGGTGCTCTAGAATCCTTCTAAATTGAATTAAAATGCATAAAGAGTTGTCACGTAGGATGATGTTATTTTTTAATTAATATAAACTTAAAGTTACATCGTTTTAAATGTTTCTCAATTAATATATAGGGGATTCTTTTCATATGAATGAATATAGAGCCATAATATGTCACTAGGATAAGATATGCGCCTTGGGCAGGATAAATTTATATAGAAATTATTTTAAAATATTATATGAAAAATAAATCTATATTCTTGATTGAATTAAAATTGGTCTTATATTTTTGAACTTTTTTGTTAATTACATAACTTGTTTACTAATGATCTGATCTCATTTTTAAAAAACATTTATGTCAAAATATCACTTATCGCAAAGAACCTAACGTTTAGGTCAAAACAATTTGGGTCTATTTAGTTACAATGAAACTATGTCAGCTCGGTTTGATCTAATGATTTAGCAATTTAAAAATTAGTTATGGTTATTTCAATTTTTTCTTTTTATTATTATATTATATATTGTTATATTAATGAATTAGTGTAAAATTGAAGATATACGTAAAAGTTATTATATTATAAAATTGTAAAAAAAATTGTTTAATAATAAATTTTGTATGATTATAAACATATAAATAATTAGAATTTATATATTTTTATGATATTTTATATTTATACTATTATATATATTTAGTGATATGTTAGGTGTTTTTGCACCTTGTGCAAAATAAATCATTTAAAAATTAAAATCATGTATAAATTAAATTTTGTTCATTTTTAGATTTTATTATTTCCATATTATTTCAATATTAATTTATTTTAATTTTAATTTTAATTATATGTAAAAATTAAGATAAAATAATTGGATTAGTATATTTTTGAAAAACTGCATAATTGTTTGAAGGTTTGTTTAGTAATAAATTAAAAATTATAAAAATAGAATTTAATAATATTTCATTTTTTTATTTTTATTATTATATTAATGATGATTTATGAATTATTACTATATTTTAGAAAACTTTCCAAAAATATAAAACAACGATTAGTGTAAATGTCACAATAATTCAGTCATGTCATTTTTGTTGGTATGCATTTGTTAGAAAATTTGAATACATTTTTTTTAAAGGAAAATCGCATAAAAAACCTTCAAAGTGAAACTTACTAACACTTTAAACCTTGAAATTTTTTCACTAGAACTTTACACCTTTAAAGTGACATTTATGTCACAAAAAACCTTGACCTAGAAAATCTAACCTGTTGAACAGGTAAAACATGTCATTTATAAGTTTTTTTTAAATAAAAATTTAATCAATAATAAAAAAAATAATTAAATTTTCAAAAAAAAAAAAATCAGAACATAAAGAAAAATTTATAAAAAAAATAATTTGAAATACAGAAAATTAAATAAATTCTAATTTTGTTTTAAAGAATTAAAGAAAATTCACAAATTGAACAAAAAATAAATAAAAATCAAAAACTAAATAACATTTCCAAAAAAATAAATAAAAAATCAGAACATAAAGAAAATTTTTAAAAATATACATTTAATAAATTATCTATTTTATTTATTAGGTTTTTCCGAGAAATAAATATTTAATAAATATTAATATAATAAATAAGAAAAAAATAAATTAAAATCAATTTAATTTTCAAAAAAGTTAGAGAAAATTTCAGAATAGAAAGAAAAATTTATAAAAAGAAAAAGAAATTGAAATATTAAAAATTAAGTTAAATTCAGAAAATTTAAAAAAAAAAACAAAATTCACAAAATTGAAAACTCAAAAGTTCAAAATAATTTTTAAAAAAAATTACAAGATTATGTTTTTAACTATTTGAAACCATGAACTTCAACAGTGCTATGTTTGAAAATTTTATTGTCAACGATTATATGACAATTTTATTGGAAAATTTTATAAAAAATACAACATTTTATTTTTAAAAAATCTGAAATATTATAGTCGAGAATAAAAATTTCAAATATATCACTAGTGACGATGATGGTTTCAAACAGTTTTCAATTTTTTGTAAATGTTTCTTTATGCTCAGAAATTTTCTTTATTTTTTTTGAAAATTTAATTTAGTATTTGATTTTTCTTTATTTTTTGTTCAATTTTTTAAATTTTCTTTAATTTGTTTTTTAATTTTCGGAATTTTATTTAATTTTTGGTATTTCAAATTATTTTTTTATACATTTTTCTTTATGTTCTGATTTTTTTTATTTTTTGAAAATTTAATTAATTTTTTTATTAATGATTAAATTTTTATTTAAAAAAAATTGATAAATGACCTGTTTTACCTGTTCAACAGGTCAGATTTTATAGTTCAAGGTTTTTTGTGACACAAATGTCACTTTAAAGGTTTAAAGTGCTAGTGAAAAAAAACTTTAAGATTTAAAGTGCTAGTAAGTTTCACTTTGAAGGTTTTTTATGCGATTTTCCCTTATTTTAATAATGATTTGTAAATTATTATCATATTCATAAGAGTTACTAAAAATTAAAAGCAACTTTAAATAGTTGTGCATGTCAAATTTAACTATAGGTTATATCATCAGTTATAATATGTCACGTCATATTTTTTTATGAAAAAGATTATTGAAATTATATGTATGAAATCATTTCATAAATATGTTTTAGATTTTGAATGGCCACCATCTGCCCGTCCCAAACTGAGTGAATAGTAACAAAAACTGATACATATATTTATGTTCTATATATATGTTTGGTTACTATTTAAACTGAACTGCAATTATTTTGCAGTTGTCATGCTCATTACCATTAGAAGCATAAAATATTGTTTTGATGTAAATATCAAAATAAATAAATAATCATATTGTGGGTATATCGCAGCTTAGGAGAGCACGTGTTGGTCCATGAATCCATCTTTCTTCCAAGATGCCCTACCATTGTCATCGCGTTCTATCTTTAATTTACTAGTTTACCACTCCAAGAAACTTGTCCATTTTTTAGAAACATGTTCTTTCCTAAAGCAGTCTAATTCAAAGATTTTTATATGAGTAAAGAACTCTCTATATATTAATTGAGAAATATTTAAAAAATTGTAACCCTAAATTTATATTAATTAAAAAATAATCTCATCTTAAATGGCATTTCTCTATGTTTTATATTCAATTTAGAAAGATTTTAAAACACCTTATATCGGTGAGAAGAAAAATTTTCGGTGCA